CATTCAGACAGTTGTGCATGTGTGTGTGCTCTCACTTTGAATTGATATCAGATTTCTACAAGATTCAATTACATACAAGTTATACTGAACTATTAGGGACATGTGCTATTCTCAGCAAGCCCCAGGAAAAGCTATTATCCTTCACTCATTTTCATTATTTCATTAAACAAGGTGTTGCTGTAAAAGCATGCATGCTCAGCCAACCTACACTATATAAACAGAACTTTAATAAAAAATAATGAGTGCATACCAGTCACAGAGGAGGAGATGTACAAAGCTTTGAAGCAGCTTAGATGTGGATGATATGATAAGGATGCACCAATCTGAACCTGATACTTCAATTTACAGTATCTGCTGAGTACCAATCTGATTGTTATTCCCATAATTAAAATCTGCACCTCTCTATGTGGAACTCATTTGGATAATGTTATTATAATAGTTTGGATTTATGTGGCACAAAAACCTGTGACTTTGTCAAAGAAATAGCATTTATTGATGCCCAATCTGCTTGATAAAGTCAGGATCGGGCACGAGACTGATCCGGTATATCTGACCAGTGTACTCCTAGATGATATACTTATGTAGAATATAGTATATTCTTTATGTGGTGCATATGTGGTGCATGTGCGGTAGCCAAACTGAGCTGCTCAAGAGTTTATTGAACTTGAAAGGTATCAATCTCTTCTCTAGAATCAGATTTTGCTTAGAAGTAACTAAAGATGGTGAAGGTGAAAAAGGTCATGATTGTCTCTCCTGGTCTGAGCAGTGTGATCGATCCAGAACTAGAGTCTTTTCATGGTGCTAGGTGGGGCGTGGTGCTGCACTGCAGCATGTTAGAGGGGAGCGGGCCGGGGGTACCATCCAAGGAGAGGAAGGAGCAGCAAGAGGAGGGTTAGGTGGTGAGGGCGGTGGGGGAGAGACAGCAGTTTGGCCCTTGACAAAGCCTCCTCCCACTTTTTCCACAACTCCCCTTCGCCCTCGTCCTCCTCCAAACTTGCTCCTTCCTCCTGTCCTAGCTTTGGGCGATGCATGCAGAATGGTCTGTGTCTGAGAGCAGTGGCCTGAAATAAGACTAAGAGGGGCCTCGGGTGGCTGAGAATGCTAGCTTTGTCTCAGCTGCCATCCACACTGTCTTGAGACACGGTGGGGAAAGAGCTCAAAGAGTGTCTGATGGCAAATTAGTAGTGCCAAATGGAGAGCCCCGGCCACCTCCACAAGATTCAACCCCCTTTTTTTCCCTCTCCTCATCTCACCTCTTCGGACATGTTGCAGATTGACATGACAGATTCAAATTAGGGGAAAAAAAGATGGTCAAGGAAGGTTAATGGTGGAGTCAATACATTTTATCTTAATTGATGTGAGTGAGTGATTGAGTGTACAAATAGTGTCAAATGAAAGATTGATGAGCATTGAGAGCTGAAGTCCATTTAGGTATAAGGTTTTAATGATAAGTGCCTAATACCATATCTACAGTATATCCATTAGAGGGATATACATCTCTTAATGTCATACTTGAGGTGATATTTCACTTTAATGCGATATTTTGATCTTCTAGTGTAGTTTGACAGTAGCTGCTCACTAATGCAAAATTATTTCTTCTAAAAAAGTAACAAAGAACAAAACTATCTGTAACCATCTGTTGAGCCATTATAGTTATTTTATGGCTTCAGCATATTAATTTACACATTCACAAAACAACAAATATCTTTAATGCAGAGGAAATGAAACAATCACAGCTGAAGAAAATCAGTTAAATTCAAATAGGAAATAGCTCTATTATGCTTTGTTACAACAAATAATTATATAAAAAGTAGCAACGATATATTTATGGTTCAAATGTATATATTTTATCAGCATACATCTGCATGTTCCATAATGTGTAATATATAATATTTAATAATATAATAATAACATATGGATCATCAGACGCTCTTTTAACAGGCTTGTATGTTTATGTGTCTGTTTGCAAAAAAGTAGACAGCTGCATAAAAAAATAACTTACTGCTTACTAAACTGCTTACTGATAAAATGTTATATATATATGTATGTATATAAGTATGTTAGACAAAAAAAAACTCTAATTAGTTTGCTCAATGTTAGAAATATTTATTTTTCCTTGATAAGGGTTTTGACAAATAGTTCTATAATTAATTACATACTGATAATAATGCTACTCTTATGTTGAGGCATTTGTTTAGAATAATATAAATAAGCAGTGAATTAATTACTGATATATAAGTGTATACACAGATTTTACTTAAAAAGCAGTGTTTGTGGACCACCCAGTTTTTAATACTTGTTAACACTCGGCTTTATTTTACTTTGAAACACTGGATATAAAAAAAATAATGTGTGTGTGTATGTTTGTCTTGAGTCAGATCAGGTGAATCTCCATCAATATGAACTTGTGTCACCTTCTAATCCCTGTAAAGCTATAGCTTTCATGCTCAGCCCATATGCAGCCGAGCTGTAGGAACACACACACACACAC